ATTGCTACAGGGTATCTCGCAGTTAAGCGCTTTCGCCCAAACGACTCTAACCGGCTTACAATTGACACAAGTCATTGACAGGCCACAGAGAACTCATTAAAAAATGTCAAGCACCGTGACACGGACTGATGATAAAATCAACAAATAAACTTTAAATATGAAGCCAGAAACTTTAGACCTTCACCTTCGGCTGTTAACGCTGTTAACGCTGTGTAATTTTAATACATTAATGTGGATATGTATATTTATTCAATTTTAACAATTTTATTTCAACTGGTTCGCTTGGCAGCGGCCAACAAATTTGCTTTAATGGCCTAAGTCATGGTCTAAGGTTACATGCCCCACACACTGGCTGGGGAATGGGGGTGTGGGATGGGGCAATTGCTAACCAGCGCCAGACCATTGTTGTAATTTGAGTGGCATTCAAAGTTCAGAAATTCGTGCTCTCCACATACAAAGCTTGTGCAGGTATTTGAGCGTTTATCGAACGATCTGCACTGCAAATTGTGTATGCGCATGAGAAAAGTGAAAGAGCTGCAGGCTGCACTCGCAGAAAATGTGAAAACTCGCACATTCATCGATGAGTTATACTCTGTGTAAATTTGAAGATTTTTGGGGGTCTAATATCCATTTGACTTTACAAATGCTGAAAAATTGTTGCATTTTATTTTATTAGATATTTTTTATATTATTATATTATATAAGTTTATTATAATAACACCACTCTGATAAGAAATGTTTTCCAATGTGTCGTTCTCAAATATATAAGCTTAAGAAACTTATGAATACGTTTTTAGAAGTGGAAGAAAAAAATCGTAAAAACTCTTAAGCATTTCGATATTTATAATGATTATGTTGTTGCTATATACATATATAATGATATGTATTCCAAGAGCAGTACTCTAACTTCAAAGCGTATATTGAAAATCAACATTTGAAAGAATTGCTTTATTTTTTGACAATAAAAATAAAGTAATTGGTTAAAGGTATACATTTTATAAAATAATAAATTGAATGATCTAAAAATCATCAAAGCAAAACCAAAGTAAACAAAGAATGTAGAGAATAGAGCATCTAACAGTCATTGTGGACCAACTGCAACTTTCTTACTTTGATCTTAAGATCTGTGCTGGTTTTCGGCTCTCAGCGTTTCAGCGTTTCAGCTTTCGGTTTTTCGGTTTTTCAGTTTTTCATTTTGCGCGGTGCAGTTTTGAAGTGTTCGTGATAACACGTAGGCAAGAGCAAGACGCTCATGCGTGGTTGCCTCCACTTGGGGGCAAGTCGACAGCCAAAGCTTCAGCTACAACTTCAGCTCTTTATGGCCAGATAAGCGAAGTTGGCTAAGCAACACCCACTCGGTTCGCCTCGATTGCGGCCAAAAGGCTTTTGCTTGGTTGCACACACACACACACACACACACATACACATACACACAGATGTTTATTTTTTTTTTATTTTTCTGGTGGCACTGCCAGTTTTATGACCTCCCCAGCCGGAGCGCTATTTGGAACGCCTCTTAAGTCAGGTGCCTGTAAGAAAGAAAAAAGCTCAAATTTCGGCTGTGTCTCGCTTGTAGTTTTATACCCTGAACCCAACTGAAAAGGGTATAATTAAGTTGTGCACAAGCATGTAACAGGCAGCAGCAAGCATCTTCAAAGCCATAAAGTATATATATTCGTGATCAGCATCTAAAGTCGAGACGATATAAACATGTTCGTCTGTCTGTCAGTCAAAGACTATAAGATGTAAGTTTTGGTACACCAAACGCAGATTAATTTCATTTAATTTGTCCGATAATTGCCCCCATTTCGCGGTTATCGATATAAATCGATTTCCGATAGCAATAATCAATCAACATAATATAGACATAATGTAGACCATCTGTAACAATTTCATCAAGATCGGTTGGGAAAGGCTGCAGATTCGTAAATTTCTATTTTTCATTTTCTTTTCAGCGTGTTGCTTTCAATATGGATAGGTAAAGACTTGTGTGCAGAGTATCTGCTAGTCGAGCTCTCTCGACTAGAGCATTCTTACTTGGTTTTTCTTCTTTTTATAGTATTTTGCCTAATAGTCCGCTGTGGCAAGTTGGCTTTTTAATGGCCAGCATCTAAGCCTGTGTGTGTGGCTTAACCCATTTGAAAACTATGTTGGCCAAGTCACATTTGTGTAGCTGGTCGAGTGTGTGGCAAACTGTGGCACTGTAATAGTATGAAGTAAACAGCTAATAGTGTATTAAAGATTACAAAATTGTATCTATGTTAATATATGTTTAGTTACTAGTGCTAATGCAAATCTGTAGCCGGTTTTATTATTCCAGATTATAGGATCAAACTTATTTAGGCAAATCTAGTATTACACATAAAGAATGTTGCATTTAAATAAGAATTTTAATTATTTGAATTCTTTAATTTTCAGCTGTAGCAATTTGTAATATTATATAAGAGTGAGGGCATCTTCTAGTCGATTAATTTTCCACAGATTGGCTCTTTATAGGCTTACCGTTCTGCTGGTCAACTCTAATGAATTGTTACAACAACATGTCAAAATAAATCTATATTATACCATAGATCTTTACACTTTCGGATGTCTTAAGACCGTAGCCCTTACAATAGGTGATTACCTTGATTTATGTCTTGGGTTGTGGCCTATCTCTAAATGCTATGAAAACCAGTCAAGATGAAACGGCATCTTGAAATAAAATGCATAAAAGCTCAAGTTGATTGTGGAACTGCTGCGTGTGGATATTATTAGATTCTGGCAGAGACCTTAAACAATACAATTGAATCATTCAATTCACTTCCTAGTCATGCACATTGTTTTGGTTTAGGGCCACGTTTAAGTACCCGAACATACTTGAAATTCCATTGGCGCCTCGATCGGGCAATTAAATCAATTGAGCAATGGAAAAAAAAACACATGAAATCAGGAAAAATATGCGAGTCGTGGAATTAAGCTAAACAACAATAATGATGGCTATAAGCTAATGCTAAAGAAAACACAACCCAATTATACACTACATATGTATATACATTTATCTCTATATACCACATGCAACATGTATATAAAAACATTTTGATTTTTTGCACAATATTCAAATTTTTCGACTTTCATTCGAACAAAAATGGAAGAAAAAAAAACATGATAAAAACGAGTTAAAGTTGTTAACAAACTAATTAAATCAAATTAAATCCATCAACAAAGGCCCAAAATTAACACACAGCTCACACACACTAAACATAAAATTAGGAAATGTGTGTTTTGGAGTCAACAAATTTGCAGCTTCCTCTTATCGAGCACATCTCTTAAAAGGCGATAGCTCACCTTAATGGGCATTGCTAACACCTCGCCCATTCCAAGTGTGTGAGTGACGCCGAGCAACTGTTAACAAGTGGCGAATGCTCTAGTCGGGAGAGCTCGACTGGCAGATACCCGGAACCCAATTATAATATTACGATTCTCTTATGTATTTCTCACTTGATCTTGATGAAGTTTGTTTAAATGATTAATATTAGATATACTCGATTTGATATCTTAATCATTCTGGGTTTAATTGTTGACGTTAATCGATTTTTATCGATATTGGGAATGGGATGAAATTATATAAACTTGATATTTACTTTGAAAAACAGACGCCTATAGTCTGACAGACAAACAGACAGTCATGTCTATAGCGACTTGGCTTTTTATGCTGATTGCGCATATCGCATGAGAGATGCTTTCTCCTGCCTGTTACATGCTTTTGCACAACTTCATTATACCCATTTTACCCACTCACAATGGGCTCAGAGTAGAAAAACACCTTTGAACGTCTTACAACTCCTAATTAGCGATGCTAATTGAAAAACTCACGCGTCATCGTGATACTAACGACAGCAATCCAAGCCAAGCATTTCAAATGCACTGACATACACTGACAGAAATACAAACGGGATATTCGCATCTACTTGTTTTAGATGTTCTGTAAACTCTAGTATCAAATAACTTATTTAAGTATGGGGTTCTTAACTACTCGAATCCTGAATGTTTTACTTATTATTATTTTATTTTGGTAGCTTCATTTTTGGCGCAGTGCAGGGGGACCTGAGTGTACTGTGTAAAATGTGTTGCAGCTAACAATATCAATGTGTCAAGACCTTAATTAAGCCAAAGTAAACAGTTTGGCTGACTAACCGAGGGCGTTGCATGCAACTGAATGTTGTCGCTTCCGTCTGAGACGCTGCCACAGTCTCTGCTTTTGTTCGGGCTTACGTGACGTATGCGTAACGTGTGTTTTGATCAATTTTTTGCGTATGCATGTCGGCTGCTTTCAATGCCTCAACGTCGTGCAGTTGTCATTACGTGCAGCACACATTGTTATTCTTCAAAGCACCGCAGAGAGAGAGAGAGGGAGGCAGAGGGAGGGAGATAGGCTTGTAAATCTCCAACAAAATATTTCTTACATAAACCAATTAGCCGGCGTGCGGCATTTGCATTCAAATGCATAATTTATGAATGCGTTTATTTGGTCCAAGCCAAAAAATATAAACACAACACTAAAACACTCAAACAATGCCCAAAGTGTGGCAAAACGCATAAGTGAAAGAAATAAAGAAAGAAAGAAAGAAAGAAGCAAAGCAAAGCGACAGCTGAAAAATGCAGGCGCAAATGAAGCAATTTAATTCAGGCACATAAAAAACCCTTAAAATATGGAATTTACAAAAGCAATAAAATCATATGAAATGCTTGTTGTGTATAAGAAAATTATGTTAATTTCATGTTTTCGATACGGAAACGCATTCAACAAAAAAATGCCATATTATTTTGTTATTGTAATTTGAATGGGTTATTAAAGTGTTTCATATAAGTTATTCAACTATGGAAATTTTGATGGCTATGCAGAAGAACTGCGGGTATTTGTGGGGGAATTAAAAAATAAGAGGATAAAGGAATTACGCCAGCAACTGGTGTATCTGTATATTATATGCCAATCTGGGCTACATAAGCGATATTAGATCTGGTCGATTTTAAGGGAAATATTTATTGTTTTAATGCTAAGCTCGTGGCCATATGTACGGGTATTTATGCTCACACATAGGAGGATATATATGTATATGTACATTGACAGATTACAAGCTACCGCAGGGTGTCCAACAGCCGGGTCCAGAGTTACCACCATATGGTCCGCAAGGTCCACAGGGTCCACCACAAGGTCCACAAGGACCGCCGGGTCCGCACGGTCCACATGGTCCACAGGGTCCACAAGGTCCACCGGGTCCGCATGGTCCACAGGGTCCGCAACGTGTCTCACAAACAGGATACTGATTCGTCGAGAAACAGGGCAATGGACAACAGGCGCCACCTGGAGCACAGGGTCCAATGGGGCAGGGCGGACAGGCGGCACTCGGCTTATAGTTGATGGGTCCGTTTGGGTAACAGCAATACTCACGCGGCGGTGGTATATCAATGGTCTGCGGCTTCGGCTGGCACAGTATCGATTGACAGACCTCGCGCGGCTCGCAGACACGCTTTGGATAGCAGACGACATAGGGATCGGGTATCATGGATGGATAGTAGATGACGCGCGGTTCCCGCACCATCTGCGACACCCAAATCAGTTTGGGCACCTTGATCACACGCGTCGCGTCGACCACTTTGGGTATGGTGATTTGGCGGCAACGATTCACGACCATCGGCTCGGGCACAATTTTCTCGGTGAATACGACCCGCTTCTTGCAGATGAGACGCGGCGGCTGCTGCACCGTTATGCATTTGGGAAACGGTGGCGGTATCCGTGGTGCACATTGCGGCAGCGCCTCCAATTGCGCCGAATTGTAGCATTTGGGCGAACACTCGAATGGCCCACAGCATGGATCACAGGGGCTGCACGGTCCACATGGAGAACACATTGCTATTGTATCTGGTTAGCAGTTCTAAACAAAAATTTTGTTATTTAAATCTGTACAAGATTTCATAAAAAAAAAAACAAAAATTTATTTCTAATTTGGATGCTGGTCAAATTTAAAATGAAAATCGTCCATATTACGGGTGCCACAGCTCTTGCCTGATTAAGTCCGGCCTACTCATTTTCAACCATTTACACTAAACAGAATACTGAAGTGAAATATATTTTGTGAGAATCAGAAAGTGTTGCGTCAAATTTGAATACAGAGACAGAGAAGTGAAAGAGAAAGAGAGAGAGCTAGCATTAAGTTAATCAATTCCGCCAAATCTCATCCAGGGTTCGGCATACCAAAATTAGGTCTACCTACCCCTACACCATTGGCAGACGCCATGTGCAGGGTATGTTATTGAATAAGAAATTGCCTAGATTTTCTTTTTTAAACTTTTTTTTTGGTTTTTTTGTAATAATTAAAATTTGTTTTTTATTTTTTTAAACTAATTATCAATAAGAAATTAATTTTCGTTCGCCGGAAGATAAAGAAAATGATTTTAAGCTAGCTCTCTCACTCTCTCTCTCTCTCCCTTTCTCTCTTTATGTCTATGTCTTTTTTTCTCTATCTCTGTCTTTTTCCTTATTTTCTCGCTTTCTTTCTATTGTGGCTTATTTGGCGAAATGTGCATGTTCAGTTACGACGAATTTATGTAGCTCAAACTTTTTCACTCATTTTATGGCAGCCGTTTAATTACTTTACACACTTGTTGTATTTTTTACTCACTCTCTCTCTCTTTCTCTCTCTTTATTTTTTATTTTCTTTGCAGGTAAGTTACAGTGACCCACTTGGCCAATTATGTGCACTAAACAAAAAAGGCTGCCGTTGGTCGGCACTTGGCTTTCATCAATGGGCGGACAAGTGCTGTGAAATTAAGTGTTTGGTATGTCGTTATTGTTGTTGTTGTGGTTGCTGTTGTGGTTGCTGTTGCACGGCTTGACACTTATTTGTGTGGCGCCAGTTGGAGTTGGGCATGAAGATGCCCTGCAGACACAAATATGCACATAAAACAGCAAGAGCCAAGTTGAATGAGAAGAAACAAAAAGCAGTTATGCGGGAATTCTTTATTGATATGTGGCACATTATCGATCGGAGTGGAGTTAGTGAAGCTGAGCTAGTGAGGCTGATACTGAGGCTGAGGCTGGCTTTCGACTTTCCATGAATTATGGCACAAATTCAAATGCTGCCCACCATCCCAACAGGCGATGCACTTAATTAAAGCACACGATCTGATAGTAAATGCGGATGGGTTTCTATTTTATGCGCTTTCCCAACCAAACACAAACACAAAACTAACCCAAAAAAAACTAAGCAAATTAATGACGCCCTGTATACACAATTGACAGCGACAGGCAGCGCTGATAAGATCGCCAAGATGGTGTCGAAACAGGCGCCGATAGACAAAAAAAAAAAAGTCAAAAATAAAAATAACAACTTAACTGCTCCACAAAATTTGGCACACAAATTGAAATGTGAAATGTCGCTGTGTGTGTGTGTGTGTGTGTGTGTATTTGAAGGTGCCAACCTGTTCTCTAATTGGGTTAAAATGCAGTTGACGCTGCCTCCAGGCGGAAATCTGTGGCAACTGTGGCAGCTGCCAGCAGCCAACAGGCGTTGCCCATTTTTTTTAAATTTATATTTGTAATTTTTTTTTTTTACACATAACATGATTTATAGGCAACGCTTATGAGAACTGACCTCGTTATGCTTGTGGAACCCGTGGATGCTCAATGCATTTCCAATTGAAGACTGTCAGTAAATTGGTGTCTGCCACATTACTTCATAACTTATCACCATGGTCACTTTATTTGCCATAGCTGCAAAGTGCCACACACTTTTTTGAAGTGTCATTTAATTATTGAGTTCTACTTGGCTTTGAAAGTTCCAAGCTTCCTCGATAGAAGTTTTCTTAGCTGTAGAATTGTAGTCACTCAAAAGTCTACATTCTTCGTGAACTTGCTAGAATTTTTACTTGCAAAAACTTTTATTTATTTCATAAATATTTTTTAATCATTTCAATAAGCCTTAATATTATATCTATATTTTATTATTATTATTATATATTTTATGAGTTTAAAGATGCATATAATTTTCAGATTACTTGTGTAAAGCTGGCCACTCATTCAATATTTATAGATATATTACTCCATTCAAATTTAATTCCCAGCTAAAACCAATTAATCGTTACTTTAAAAGCTAAACATTTAATGATTAAATTTAAAGTACGTTGCAAGCTGATTGATTAAGATTTATTGTGAATGCTTTCGATTTCATTTCTAATCGCAAGTGTTGTGTGTGTTTGTGTGTGTGTGTTTGTGTGTGTTTGTAGTTAAGTACGCTGCCTGTTTGTCAAATGAACCTGTCAAATTTTAACAAACACTCACTTTCTCTTTGGAGTGCAGCTGGCGCTAGTGTGAGTACTCCAGCTTGTAGTCAGATGATGTGCATCCTGTGCCAAACTAAATTACAATTTATTTATATGCAACACCCACACACACAGACACAGAAATAGGCATAGACAGAGAGAGAGAGAGAGAGAGAGAGAGAGAGACTTGGACATGCAACATGTGGCGGCACATATGGCACTGGCACTGGCACTGCCTCGCTGCCTTGGAGCCAAACTGATTTGTCTGCAAATCAGTAGGCAATAAGTCAAACGCCGCCGCCAAAGTTCAAAATTATTTTCTATTTTTGCGCTTCCGTTGCAAGCAGCAAGAGAGTGAGAGGCAAAGAGGGAGTCTGAGAGAAGTGGGGAATTGCAGTGAGAGGGCTGGGCCAAGAGAGAGAGAGAGAGAGAGACCCACAGCAGAGCTAGTCGCCCAGTCAGCTCAGACAGTTGCCTGTCTATCATTTGCCTCACATTGCTGCAGCCTTTCATTTTAGCCGCTGTGGCAGACGTTGACGCAGTTGCCGACGCAGACAATTGCAATCGTCGATCGTCGTTTTGTGGCAGCTTCCTGCCTTGCCTGCCATGCTGGAACGCTGCAACGCTGCAACGCTGCTTCGCCACAGTCGCCCTCAAAGACGCCGCTCTCTCATTTGGCTACGGATTGGCAATGGTTTCTATTCGGTTTCATTGCATTTCATGTCTGGCATTTCTTTCAAGTTTTCATTCATAAACACATGGCTCATCCAATTTATATTTGGTTTCTGTTTTAAATCGATCGCAGTTGCAGTTGCAGTTGCAGTTGCAATTTGTTGGCTTATGCAATGTGCTGTCGGGCAATGAGGAAGTTGCATGAGTTTCAGCCATTTGCTGCCTTTTTGTGGGTGACTGTGGCAAATTGTTGCCTGATTATAGGGCTGTTAACTGTTTATGCCCCAGGAATTGTAGCCGCCGCATGATCGACTGCGATTTGCACAAATGTGACATAAGCGACGGTCAGCTCTAACCAGCTATATCTATTTAGCTATATATTATGCAGCCAGTACCTGAAGCTCTATTCATAACTGGGGATGTTACGGAAAGATACTTTCGATCGCTAAGATATAATTATCGTGAATGTTTTTAGCGCTTTTTGTTGTTGCCTTTTTGAACACTTAATTCGGGCAGCGTTCAAGGAAAAATGTGTAGCAAAGTGTGGGATAATGATAATAGGACTGTTTGACTGGTAAATGTATATATATATTTCTGATCACATCAGTCGCCGAGTCGGCGCCGTAGCCAAGGTCGTCTGCCCGTCTGTTATTAAGCAAATTAGTTCTCAGTTTTCTTGCAGAAACTTGGCCTAAGTTAATTAATATCATAGCTTTCACGGCTTATTTATATTTATGGTACAATTTAGATATCGGCATTTCGACTCCGGCCTATTAAAGTATATAATCTTTGCCGTGCCGTTCTTTCTTGTTTTTTCGTTAACATTTATTGACTGTAGATAAGGCAGAGTCAACATAAAAATATTATTTCATTTAAGCAGTTTAAGATTATGGGCTTACAAACATTTGCATAGATCCATTAAGATATTTGACTCATAAATCCGGTATGCAAGCAAAAATTGGAAAAACTATTCGCTTTCAGGAGTGGATTTTCTCCATTCAGCATGCGACCTTTCAGCAGCATATTTGCTATTTTCTTGAACAATAACAATAAAAGCAACGCCTGCCCGTCATTTGTTCACTTATTCAAACAGTCAGTCAGCCATTCAGGCAGTCACTCAGTGAAACACTTTGTTTAACAATGCGGCCCTGGCGCGTGCTTCTGGCTAGAGTCAGCGACGCTGACAGCGTCTGGAGGAGCAACCAGTGGCTTGGGAAGCAGCCATTAAACAGCAGCCCAGGTAGAGCTGGCAAGCGCAGACAACAATAGCTTGCCAGGCGTCGTGTCTCCGATCTGGGCTCGACTGCTAGACTACTGGCTGGCTGGCTGGCTGGCTGGCTTGCCGGCTGGCAGTACTAATGAGTTGGATCCAGTTTGCCTGGCCACATACATCAAGTGGCAAACCGCAGCCGAGTTCTTTTGTTTATTTGTCGAGTCTTAAACATGAGCATTACACACCAAATTGTCTGGCATATTGGCTTGAGCTCTCTGAACCCGGTGTTGAGCTCTTGAAGCGGGTGTGTCGCACACTCCTCGCATGAGAGCGAAAGTGTTTTTTCGCAGTACGAACAGCGGCTGCCGCCGGCTGTGCTGCAACCAGCAAAATCCTGCAATGAATAATTTAGTCATTTTATGCCAACGCAAATTGAACTTTTTTTGTCGAAGCATTTAAGCCGCAGGAGTTGTGCCGACGACTTGCCGACCACCCAAAAGGCAACAACAACAACAACAACAGCAACAACAGTTGGCAACTTTGCCAATGCTCTGGCGACGCTGTCTTGGCGGCAAATTCATCACATGAGATCCCGTGGCGACGGCGACGACGGTGGCGCTAAATCGTGTGTGAATGGCTTGACGAACTGCAGCAGCGGCCGCCCAGCCCAAAACTGTTGCACAGTGGTCAACATTACACAGCTTTCCACTCCAAATTTGTTCTGCAGCTATAACTTTTTCGATAACAAAGAAGATTATAGTCTTAGTCATCTAGTTTGATTCTGCTGGTTTTGTTTTCTTTTCTGGTTTTTCTTTTCCTTTAACCTCACAAGTCTTATCTAGATTTTTGCTGCACTT